CTCTTTCCCAAAATAGGGGAGAGGTGATCTGAGAAAATTTTGATTATGCAGAATACAGTGGGTAAAAGATATTTAAGAAAATCAAATTGAGAGACTTCAGCTGGGTGGGGCAGGCAGGAGAAAAGCACGGAAATTGTCACAAACCCACAGTCCCATTTCATTACACAGCTTCTTGTACAACTTATTCTGTGACCTCCAGTGAGGATTTTGGGACGCACCACAAGGGAAAAACTGAAAAAGGGTCGTCTCATTAGAGCTCTTACTCCGTCCCGTATAAAATTAAATCTTTTCTTCCTCTGGAACTTCCTGGATTGTATTGATTGCTGTTGTTACCTGATGCTTTTATGTTCATATCTTAATAGGTCAAAGTTGTAAACTTGAATTTTCCCATTTATTTTCATAGTCAAGCTTGATACTTACACATTCTTATTTTTGTGTTAATGTTCATTACAATCCCAGAAGGAGCTTTAATAGTTCCTTATCTGAAGCATTCTAGCGTGGTCCTTCCTGTGGTCCAGAGGACCTTACTCTGAACTGATGAATCTAAACTCTGCTAGATTACTGCAGACACTAGAGCACAGTAGTCTTCTGGACTATTCCTTTCCATTTGAGGCTGCAAAGTCCGTTTCTCACATGCAGGACGTGCATGCGTAGGGATTGAAGATAGATGCGCAAGAAGCTTTGGGAACCTTTCTGTATTTAATATAGTTTACGATGTAAACTCCAAGTAATTTATCTGATGTACATGTAATTTATTTAGTGTACTTCTAGTGTAGTTTACAGGATGAAAGCTAGGGGAACAGTAGCACTAATGACCAGCCAACTAACAGGCAGAGCGGCAGCAAGCATGGTATGGACCACAGTTTGAGAACGGCGGATCTAACTCATTCATTCTGGCCTTCCTTTGGCTGATGTTCCTTGAAGCATTGGCAGCTTTCATGCAGCTTAATGTTAGTTTCTATAAAGTATGAGCATTTCTTCAGGACTTCAAAGAGAAGGAATATGTGAGAAACTCTTTACAACTATGAAGCATTTCACAGCATTAACAGGGAGCTGCAGAGCCACTGTAACTGATTTTTTATAACCGACTGTAAAATCCTATGGATATTTTCTTATTTTTTAGAAAAAAAGCATTAAGATTTGTCATGCTGTTATGTGACTATTCTTATTCAATTTTGTTAATAAGGAGCAACTGAAAGGCCAGAAAAAGTTAAATGCAAGGCCAAAAAAGACAGGGGAGGAAAGTGTGCATGGGGATGCTAAGTCTGAATGAAAAGCTTGGAGGAGTTACTTTAGGAGGCATGAGCTACCTGGATGTGGCATATGCTCGTGTTCAGCACTTGGCTGTGAGGCCTCATGGGTGCCCACGTTTTGCAGCCAACCTAGCAATAATTTTGGATATTCTGAGCTTAAGCAAGAAGGAATAATACGACATTGTGCCTTTACTTAAAGGCTTTATTCAGAGCATACCTAAAGCTTAACGTGACAGTTCGTAATAAAGCCAGAAAAAGCAATCAGATCTTCCTTTTCTCATTGCCATGGAGAAGTAGCTTTGATAATACATGTGCTGTAGCAATACCAGCCTGTGCCCCAATTGCCAGTTACAGAAATAGAGCTGCTAGGATGAGGAGCAGCAAAGGAAAAGGCTGGTTTAGTCATAAAGTATTTGTATTCTTTGGGAGTCTTAGATGTGTTTTTGTCTCTGCTAAGTAGGCCGAGCAAAGTGCAGTGTCCCCTGAGCTTTCTGAATGCCTGCTGTAGTAGTGATGTGCCAAAAAGGCCAGGTTATAGATGGATGCAGCCCCGGAGAGTCTAAATTTAGTCTGCAGCTCCTCTGGTAATTGAGTTTTGACAACTCGAGAGAAAATCTCTCTGAGCATCTCAAAGCAATACGATTCTCTTCACTTTAGGTGAGTGTAATTTTGTCAGTTTTTGGTCTCTGGGTTTGACTTCCTGCAAGGTTGTTAACCTGAATACGAACTTTATAATCCATGGGTTATATTGGAGGCATAGTGCATTGCCTTTAGATGGGCATTAGACGTGAGACCATTTAATTTGATACATGAATGAAAAATAATAGAGAACAACTGAGTGAATTTAATGTAGTAGGATCCCGTGTGCAACACCCATAGGCTTCGGGAATAGAAGTTTCAAATGAATTATGACACTAGCAGTCATGCTATTTTTGTAATGGATACACATTGGCTTCTTAAAAAGAATTCTGACTAAACAGCTGATAACTGAATTTTCTTTACTAAGGCTGTTTTTCATCTATGGGGAATACCTAGTAAACGTTTTACAGAGCTTTTCATGAGTGTTTGGCTGCTACGTGAGAGTATATTCAAAATAAGAGTCAGGCAGGAGACTATAGAGGGTTTGCATATGAATTGAAAAGAAACAACACAAAGTGTACGAGCAATATAAATTATGAGCAAGAAACCTAGAAATGGTAAATGTATATAGAAAGGAAAATGCAGTCTGAAGCGAGGTATAATTTCTGGCTTAGCTACACTTGTGTGATCCTTTGAGGTTAAGGAGATACAGAATCTCTCCCCACCCACCCCGCACTTGAAAATTCTTTTTAGAATTATAAACTTGCAAATTGTCTGGCCTCCAGTGCATACAGACCTTCTGTCTTTCAGGATTTGTATGCAAGGATCAAGGATTAAAAGCGGGGTGGGGCCTTTTTTTTCCTTGCTTTTAATAAATGGCTGTATTATAGAGAGAGCATGTGGTTTGGCATTTTCAAATTTTAGACTGATGATTTTTCTGCAGATGCCCAGTGTGTTGCCACAGGGAGATTTGCGTGTGGTGACTGCTGTAGCTAGTACCATATCTCAGCTGGCCTTCCTTCTGTGAAATTGTATAGTTGCTTTATGCACAGATTTTGTCAGTACTCCACCACCCTGATCTTGGAGGAAGGCAGGCAGTGTGACGACAGGGCAGATGTCGTTCTTTGTTTGACTTTGTGTTGCCTCTCGGGCTCGGGATGGAGCTCTGGGCAGAGCCTCCGCCACAGCCTCTGCGGGCTGTTGTCGCTTGCGACGGGTGCTGTGCCGGGAGGAGGGTGGTGGTCCCTGGCTTGTGGTGGGTGTCCGAGCTGTCCTGCTGCCAGGGACCACGCGTGAGGCTCTGCGCCATGGGTCTGGGCAGCAGTCCTGGGCCTGGCAATGCTGCTCTGCAAGGCGGCCATTGTGCCCCTGGCATTGCCTGGCCTCGGGCCCCTGGGTAGCAGCAGGGGCTGAGGTGACTGGAGAAGGATACGGGCCAGGCAGAGAGATGGGGAGAAGGGATTTTTCTTCTGCATGTCATTTGTC